AAAGAGCATGATTTAAAAAATGTACTCATATATATGAAACATGAACTTGGTAGTGAAGAAACAAATCTTCGAATATTAGGAAGAGTATTATGGGAGATGGGAAAACCTGAGCTTGCCGAAAAATACTTCATTCGCTTTTTAAAACAACTTTCACCAAATGACCCTTTACGTGCTGATTTGTATCAAGAGCTTGGCAAGCTCGCATCAAATGCTGGTGACTATGACAAGAGCGTGCAATGGCATCAAAAATCACTCGAACTCAAAGGTCCAAATGCATTAATTGATATGTTCAATGATAATGAACGTAGCAATTCTATTGGTAAGTTCATCGAAAGAAAGTCTAATATCTTGAATAGGAATCCTATTTTACAACTAATTCTAAATGAACAACGAAAATTTATAAAAGTCACACAGAAAAAGCTCGTTAAAAAGCAAAATTAAGTTCATGGAGAAGCATTATTTTAGATGACGGAAATATATGTCGGATAGAACCAAATTGACCCAGGAAAGATCAGCTATCATTGATTCTATTTACATCAATTTTCCTTCCCTACGTTTATTTTTACAAACCTTTTTACGGTAGTAACAATATTTCTTTGCTTATTTCTATATCATGACATTAATGATGAAGAAATGAAAAGTTTTCTTACATTATATTGGGTTGATGCAAAATTAACGACCGTTTTCATTGATTCTAAATTTATTCAACAATACAATAGCAAAGTACACTCGAAACATGTTTAAATGATCATTCTAGAGCATAATCAACATCTACTTCAATAACTGCTTCCCATTTGCTTGGCAAACGATCGATTCCACGTGCAAAAAAGTGACGATCCTTGGATGCAATCCACGCTTTGACGTCAGCGACAAAGGATGGAAAGTGCTTGAGCACCCACTATATTCTCCCACTGAAGCTCCTACAGACTATCACGTCAATCGTTCGCTCAAAAATTGGCAGACGGGCAAAGTCTACGATGATTTGGACGATCTTGTCGCTGACGTCAAAGCGTGGATTGCATACAAGGATCGTCACTTTTTTGCACGTGGAATCGATCGTTTTCCAAGCAAATGGGAGGCAGTTATTGAAGTAGATGGCGATTATGCTTCAGAATGATCATTTAAACATGTTTTGAGTGTACTTTGGTGTTGTATTGTTGAATAAATTTAGAATCAATGAAAACGGTCGTTAATTTTGCATCAACCCAATAGCTCAGAAGTACAAAATTAGTATATATTCAATTACTAGTTTGTTCTCAAAAACTAAATAAAGAAGACAGCGATAGATTAATGTCTACATTTATTTGCTGCATTACAGATGGTGAATATTTGCTTGAAACTCATTTGAACTCAAATTCTGTGCATCGACATCTCTATTGAATAACATTGATCTAGATAGTTCGTTGTCATACTCTTATATTAATATTGTATTTATTTGAGTAGAGATTTATACAACTTTGAAGTAATACGTTATTTAAAAGTACATCGTACCATGTTTACCGACCGTCAATTATTGGGGTTACCGAAAGTTTGTCAATAAAACTTTCGCCAATAGGACATTCGCCAATGGCGAAAGTCCAGGGGTATATTGGCGAAATTCTACTGTATTTTTGCCAATTGGCGAAATTTTGATAGGTGCGATCGCAAAAGTCCACTGTACTTTCGCCAATTGGCGAAAGTGCAGTGGACTTTCGCCAATTGACGAAAGTAGAGTAAACTTTCCCCAACTGTCACGAAATAATATTAATACAGGGTACATGTAAGAGTTGAAGCAACAGACTCTCGAATTCAAGAATTTTTGGAGTCGAACCCAATTGATGGATCTTTTAAGAGAAAAATCGAAAGAAATTCCAAAAAAGATTATTATATACATGAGATATTTCTTTGGATCTGGATCCGATCGGTAAAATTTTTCCGAACCCGGACATGAAATCAGCGATTACAAAGCTTTCAGACCGGGAACCGGTTGGGTTCGGGACCCAGTAGATCCAACGGGCTCTAGCTGGAGCTCATGTTGTTAGAATGTTTATCATAGCTTACACTCATTAATATAGCCGACAGAAATTTTCGAATCTATATCTAGTTCGTAGTCAAATTGGCGAAAGCCCAATGTACTTCCAGCAATTGGCGAAATTCCAAAGGGTATATCGGCGAAAGTACAGGGGGTGCATTGGCGAAAGTTCACTGCACTTTCACCAATTGGCGAAAGTCCAGGGGCTGTACTAGCGAAAATATAGTGGACCTTCGCCATTGGCGAGAGTCCTATTTGGCGAAAGTCTTATTGGCGAAGTTCGGGAATCCCAATTATTGTAAGATCATTCATATTTCTTCTGATAGTTATAAATTCATGTTTTTTTCTATTTGTTGTCTTTCACAATTGTAATTTCAATCATGACATGTATATAGTATAAAACAATCTTAAAGCTATCAAATATTAAACGAGCGGTTGTAAAAAGTAATGAATAGTAATGTATTTTTCACATAAACAATTAAGCATTACTCTTGGTAGGAGCATACAGTCAAATCCTTCACTTCCAGGATAGTTTATTCTGCTACTTGTTTATTAGTCATGTTTTTGTGCAACATATCTGTTTCGTTTTAACTAACAATGAATTTTTCATGATTACTTTAAATTCCTGTCGTTCCTTTCAGATATACCGAATCGGTCTAAATTTTTCAATTTTTTTTGTAGCTTAATCATGTCATTCAGGGTGAGGTCTCATATTATAATACAACTATGTAACAAATAGAATGGTAGAATGTATATCATATTGAAGTTGTTTCAGACTTACTAACAAAGAAATTAATATCCATCGATGAATGATTTTTTCATCAAAAAAAATTACAGTCAAATTTTATTTTTTATTCCGATTATATATATAAGTTTTTCTATGGGTTTAAATAACTAAAATCTTCACGAATCACGTACAAGTCTAATGCATGGGCGGCGGAGCCATTAGGCTTGGGGAGGCTCGGGCCTCCCGTAGAAAAATATAGGGGAGGCTTGGGGAGGCTCGAATACTAAAAAATATTTTAAAGATATAATCGCAAGTTTACGTCTTATTAGCGAGAACTCTTTGAACAAAGGTTGTCTCGTGTTTTTTGAATGGTACACCCAGTCAAATGTTAGATAGTCTATGTGTATCACTATATTTGTAGTGCCTCGATGACTTTCGGATCACAAACATTTATCCCTGTTTCAGTTTTACAAAAATTTGTGAAGTAATAGATGAACATGAATCTTTTGGCAGACAAAATCTTTACTAAATAGCGTCGAAGCATGTCTTTCTTAAAAGAACAAGAAAAAAAATGAGTATAATCACTAATATTCACGTAGTTAGTGTGAATATGTTATCAACTAATTTAACTGACCGCATTAAAACTCCCTTTTTATAACACATAACGAACATACAGAATGTGCCAAAGGTTATTATTGAAAATACATGTAACTCCTGTAGCAATGAAGCTTAACACAAAACTTATTTTATTTGAAAGAAGAGACTAACATGTCTGTATTATTAAAGACCCGTTTCAACAACAATGTAGCAAAAGTGGAATTTGCGAATACAAAAAAGAATAAAATGAGGTTTTTCTCTATGTGGAAAACGATATGAAGCATTTTTTCGATATCTATTAGAATTTCAATCGTTATTAGGAACTGCAAATCATTCAAATATATCCTCATGACTTTACAAATATTCATCCTGATATATTCTCGAGAAAAAGGAGCAAGAAAGCCAATATTAATCATAACATGTGTTGTTAAATAGTCCAACGCACACTTTTCACGGCCTTAATGGTTTTCGAAGAGGCACGAACGATCTACCGAGGGAAAATGCATCAGTTATTGGTTCTTTTCAAGATGTGTCAGAAAATGGCTGCCAAGCAATACTGCAAGATCTAAATGATCTGAAGTGCACAATGACGAACAAAGACCTAGTAGATATAGAAAGTAACACTGTATTGTTTTTGACATAGAAAAAGCCTAATGTTTTTCTTTTTGTAGCTACAAATACTGCTTTTGCTACGTTGTTGATTAACTTGATCTTTAAGAACAAAGTGTTCCTAGGCTCCCATTTGAAATAAAAAATATTAGATTCAGCTTGAATAATAGTGCATTGAAATGCATTTAATAAGTCACAATGACTTTTGGCACATTTTATTCGCTGATCACTTTTAGTCATATCGATATCCTTCATATGAAGAAAAATTAGCTTACGTGGAATAGAAGAATAGCTGCAATGGTTCATTCAAAAAAAAACAGCATGAAATCATTTTCGGTCGTGAGAAGTGCTTTTAGCTCTGCCTTGCTATATTCACATTAGATTAGGTGTAAGATTTTTATGTACATGCTAATTATCCAATAGAAAAGTTAACGTTGCCGTAAAATTTTTCCCTATGGTTCAAATTTTGACATGAATAAATCTAAAAATGCGTTTAAAATATAGCGAACATTATAAAAAGTAGAAAATAGTTCCCTTTTTGGTCTATCTCTCCTCATTGCCTAAGAAAAAATTTTGAGCCTCCCCTAAGTTAAAATCGTTCCGCCGCCCATGTATAAATGTACGGAGGGGAAGGAGGTTGTCAAACTGCAGGAGTTTGTTGGAAGGCAGTAGACAATCAAGAGCTCGCTTAGAAGTTCTAAAGATCATACAAAGTCAACGAAGAAAGATAGAGAAATAGAACGAAAATAATTGAATATACTAGAAAAGAGAACATCTATGAATTCACTCATGATAACTGAACGAAAGGAAGTATAGATTGAGATACATATATTAAGATGGCTGGATGTTTTAATCTGCATTCTTAACACATATTATTCTACAGTCAAACTTTTCTCGTAGACTGGAAATCAAAACGTCCCTTCCATGTTCACATAGCAAAGCCACACGGTCATGTTAACACAGGTCAAGAGAAACTGCCATAAATGTGAAATCAAGTCTTACTTTACAAATCGCAAGCTGCATTTCTTTTGTTCTAATAGAGTTAGAGTAGCCAGCGCCACAGACATGGTAGTAAGCGTACTCATCATCTTTTGAATATGCTCAACATGATGAGTGAAGTTTGTTGAGATAGAAAAAAAATACTATACCTCAAGGCTCACCGATACACGAGCAGACGTATTCATCGGTATCGGATAAGATCGATAATTCGCGAAAACTAATTCTGATTTAAAACTATCAGTGGTCAGCTGCGCCATGACAAGTAAATGGGTCCAGACTGTATTCAATAGAAGGGCAACTGAAATAAACACAAAAATAACCCATCATTTTTATGCAAACATAGTTCAGAATTAAACATTCATTTCTAGATGACACCTATACCGCCATTCTCGAATATTTTCCAGTCACAACTTCCCACTCTCGAAGATATCCTACCAAACCAGAACTTTTAAATCCGATGCAATCAATGCCAAAAATCAGATGTTAAGATGAGCACAGATAAGTCGTTTGCATGAGCATCATATATCATAAACTGCATTGATGCCTTAAGCACAAAATTGATCAGAGCAATCTTTGAAGCATTTTGACACCGATTATAGAACTTAAATCACTTAAATCCATTATTTTCAATAGTGTTTTCTATGAGAGAAATATTAAACAATAAAATACCGAGACGAAAAATATACTAGCATATCGTTCTTGAATACCTGCAACGAGTCCTCTGGACGAAACTTCATCGTAGACTCATTTTCTATACACCTTGGAAAACAATCCAAGCCTTGAATATGGAAACAAATGATTTTTACGCCAGTATTTCCTCTCGGCACATTTTGGCCAATTAAATGGCAAGAAGAAAACTAGAATATCGCATAGTCCACGAAAAACTGCATCAGGTCCTAAAGATGAAAGTTCATCGGAAAGCCATTTCTTAAGCACCATGGATTTCGAATCATCACTATTTTAGACAGAATTGCTCTTGTGAAAATTTTTCTCAAATGAATTCCCCAGAACTAAAATGCATTGCCGTGTAGCGCGTAAAAACTTGCATCGAATCATGTAGTTTATTTTTCATCATAGTGTCAATTCTAAAGGGATTGTGCAGCGAAAACATCCGTGACATGCCAAAGATTTTGATAGAAACATTGTATGTTCCCCCGATGCTTTTACTCCTATCTATTATTTTTAGTTGGTTCAGATATGGTTTCCAGGCGTGGATCGAGTGTGTGATTGGTTTTCTCTGTAGCTCACACCCATTTTTTTACATGATGT